ACACAACACAACACAACACAACACAAGGTCTCACTCTCCATAATGAACCCACGAGAAATCACCGTATACTATTTTCTCAAATTTATTGCCAGAAACAAATCAACCTAGCGAAATGTCTAGAAAACTGTGAGAGACAGAAGACTCAGAATGTGGAGATGTGGAGATGTGGAAGAAAGAATAACAACAAAGATTCTAATTATTATAACTATTGTAAGGCTGAAACTCTGAGGCGGTATAGCAAATGTAGGATTCTTGGATGGCATGAGAAAAGTGAAGGAGAAGCAAGAATGACATTGATGATTTTAATACAGTGGTAATACGGAGAGCAGGAAAACCTTCACTCAGGAGATTTTCAAGACTAAGGTTCAGTTAATCACAACTACTAAGCACAAAAAGGCACAATACTGTGACTGGAACGATACACAGCTACTGTCCAGAAGTAATAATAATGGGAGGTATATAATTTAAAAAAAAATAGGAGACCATTATAAAAGTATTATGAACAAATGCAGAAGAACGAGTCGTATACTGAAAATAACAGCTGAGAAAACAGAGCTAACTGTAATTTTTTTGATAATGGGCGATTTCAACTATGTGGAAATTGTCTGGAAGAGGTATAAGGCTCTTATGAGTAACCGGGAACATGGAGATCAGAAATATCAGAGGCATTAGTGTAGACATTTCTGCAACAACATGCAAAAGAAGCAACAGGAAGGTGAGAGGATGATGAATCAGTAAAATAGGACCTGATTTGGACTGCAAGTGAACAAGACATGTGAAATCTACCATAGAAAACCACTGAGTACAGGATCATACCTCACTAAATTATGAGTACATACCAGTACTAGAGAGGGTGAGAAAAATTGCAGAAAGTAAGAGTACACAAGACTACAGAAGATGGGATACGATTTCTGAGAGAAGCACAAATAGTCTAGTTAACCTAGCCTGAAAAATAGGAAATAGCGGAAATAATGTATAAAAAAATGAAATTTTGAACATATATTCCCGAAGATGTTATACATTTGTACATATATTCCTGGTTACCTGGTTACCTGGAGGTTACCTGGAGGTTACCTGGAGGTTACCTGGAGGTTACCTGGAGGCTACCTGGAGGCTACCTGGAGGTTACCTGGAGGTTACCTGGAGGTTACCTGGAGGTTACCTGGAGGTTACCTGGAGGTTACCTGGAGGTTACCTGGAGGTTACCTGGAGGTTACCTGGAGGTTACCTGGAGGCTACCTGGAGGTTACCTGGAGGTTACCTGGAGGTTACTTGGAGGTTACCTGGAGGTTACCTGGAGGTTACCTGGAGGTTACCTGGAGGTTACCTGGAGGTTACCTGGAGGTTACCTGGAGGCTACCTGGAGGTTACCTGGAGGTTACCTGGAGGTTACCTGGAGGTCATTCCGGGGATCAACGCCCCCGCGGCCCGGTCCATGACCAGGCCTCCCGGTGGATCAGGGCCTGATCAACCAGGCTGTTACTGCTGGCCGCACGCAGTCCAACGTGCGAACCACAACCCGGCTGATCCGGCACTGACTTTAGGTATCTGTCCAGCTCTCTCTTGAAGGCAGTCAGGGGATTATTGGCAATTCCCCTAATACTTGATGGGAGGCTGTTGAACAGTCTTGGGCCCCGGACACTTATGGCGTTTTCTCTTAGTGTACCAATGGCGCCCCTACTTTCAATTGGGGGCATTTTGCATCGCCTGTCCGGTCTTTTACTTTCGTAGGGAGTGATTTCTGTGTGCAGATTTGGGACCATTCCTTCCAGGATTTTCCGAGTGTATACTTTTTAAATAAACAACCCCAGATGTGGAGGGCAAGTTTAACATACTGAGAAATTTTTTCTACTCACGTTTAGTTTTCTGTTAATATTTCACAAACGATAGTTTTTTCCTGTTTTTTTTATTAAAAATTAAAAAAAAAATGAAATTTAGAACATTAAATTCTCTATTTGGATTGGTAAAAACTGATTTTTTATTAAATTTTCATTCTGTTTCTAGATTTGTTTTTTCAAGACAGAATCAAGAAGAAATTAATTTACCGCAAACATTCTTTAGTTTAGTTGAAGATGGTGTCCACAACTTGAGACGTGAGAGTAAACTTTGAAACGACGGAAATTTTGAGTTTTTAAAATAAGTGGTCACCATAGAAATACATACAGTATAAAGACGTGAATACATTAAAGAGAAACATGTTGCTAGAGATTTATATAAAGGAAAAGACCTGAGGTAACAGATGAGTAAAATGTCTTTTATGTGTGAAGTTGGTCCCTCGACCACGAGAAACACAGTACCGGAGGATGCTGAGGTAAGGAATGTGATATGTAAGATGAGGAAAAGAAGAGACAAGTGGACGGCGTAACATGTCTTGTTGCAGAAGCAAGTTATAATGGCAAGTGTTACTCTAAATTCGCAAGCAGACGACCTTCAACTTTAAAATGAGGACGACCACAGGATCAACACATTGTTTCTGTATGCAAGAAGCTGTGTTCGTTCACAAGTGATAAAGTTGAAGGAAGAAGAGACACTAACGGAGGAGGACAGGAAGGTAGGAGAAGAGCCTAGCAGAAGCTTATGGTCTTCGATGAAGTGATGCGCTGCCTGAAGCAGAGAAATCGTGAGATTATTATAAGGAACTTTATATATCAAAAGCGCGATGTTAGCGCAATAAATACAGAAGAAAGAAGTAAATTAGCTTTAATAATTAGATGAATGGGGAAAGGAATGGAGAGTTGCCGTTGCTTGAGGCTGATATCAAGACCTGGTTGTTATCTACTTACATCAATTATAATGCATCAAATCAACTTTTTCCTCCCGTTATGTCTCACAAGATGCAATGCAGGTTCATTTCAAAACATAATTATGGTGTTCTTGGCTTTATTAAACATAGCCAAGACAAATGATTCTCTCGTGAAGCCGAGATAAATTTATTCTTTTAGCTACTTACAATATGACATTTAGAATTCTTCAGTAGAAAAACTTTTAACATATTTCTTGTGTGCTCGATATACCGGTCAGTGCCCGCTCTGTTGAGCATCCAGTCACTGGCGTAAACTGAAAGTAACATGACATTTATACGCCGATGTGAAAGTTTTACATGGGCACGTAACTCTGTTTTATGCCGTTTAACATGACTTCGTGATGGTATCTGCAAAATGTTGAGAGAGTTATAGTTATAGAAGCTGCAAGATCTTGATTTAGTAAGAGAGTGGAGTGGTATTATCATACTGTGAGGTATCATGGTTGTGTCATGGTGTGATGGTAAGTCTTAGTGTGGCACAGTCCTCCACCGCTCCTAGCGCTGAATGACCCAGCCTTGTTTAGTGCTTCATAAAATAAAATATTCTCATGATGTAGTGGAAGGGTTTAAGTATCATTGTAGTATATTCCACAATACCTCAAAATACGTGCTGGTGGGAGCCGAGTATGTTGGGAGCGTAGATTCCATGAATATTAATAAAATAACGTCACAAGATCGTGGCTCTCAAAGGGACGAGGAACCTGTGGCAGGTTCTGGTTTCGAAGGCAACTTTTTGCCGTCTGCAAATGGGAAACGAGTTCTGAGCTGGTATTATGGTTGCTAATATAAAGAATTTTGATGTCATCCAAGATGTCTATTGCACTTTGATAATACCCGGATAAATTAATTCGAATACATAATTTGAGCAATTTTACAAATCAAAACAATGAAAGAGCGTAAAATTAGTCTGAGATGACATTATCATTTTTTGTAAACATTCACTATCTCTGACTATCTACCTGCGGGACTTTCGTCTCAAAGAGAAACATTATATTTTGCTGTCTTTACTGTGTATATGTATGTACTGACTATGACATTTCTGGTACAGTTACATTTGTGACTATGATTCTCACATGATACATGCTTTAATTAGTCAGGTTCAAGTGGGTGATTATTTGTGTCTTAAGTAGTGTCTTGTCTTCTGTGTCTGAAGTGACAGGAGCACAACTATATTTGTGGTCAGTTAGTTACGTGGTTGCAGGGGTCGAGTCGCAACTCCTGGCCCCGCTAGAAGTTACGACTAGGTCCACTCTCTCCTTGCTCTCAGAGCCTTGTCGTACCTCTTCTTAAAGCTATGTACATATCCTGTCTCCGCTACATCACTTTCCAGATCATTCCAATTTCTGACAATTCTAGTGCTGAAGAAATACTTTCTAACATCCCTGTGACTCATCTGAGTTTTCAGCTTCCCTTGTTGATGTGTCACATCTCTGAAATATTCTATGTCCACCTTGTTAATTCCTCTCAGTCCTCCTATCCCTCCTTTCCTCCAGTGTAGTCAAGTAGAATTCCCATTAACCTCTTCTCGTAGGACATACCCCTTAGCTCCGGGACTAGTCTTGTTGTAAACTTCTATACTTTCTCTACTTTCTTGACGTGCTTGACCAGGTGTGGTTCCATACTGGTGCTGCATACTCCAATATGGGCCTGACGTACACAGTGTCGTGAATGACTCCGTACTTACATGACGAAACGTTATTCTTAGGTTTGCCAGGCGCCCATATGTTTCAGCAGTTACTGGGTTGATGTGCGCCTCAGGGGATGTGTTCGACGTGATGCTCACCCTGATATCCTTTACCTTGAGTGAGGTTTGCAGTCTTTGACGCCCAAGCCTATACCCTATCTGCTGTTTTCTCTGTCCTCGTCCAAGCTTCATGACTTTGCACTTGGTGTTTATGTGTGTGTGTGTGTGTGTGTGTGTGTGTGTGTGTGTGTGTGGTGTGTGTGTGGTGTGTGTGTGTGTGCGTGTGTGTGTGTGTGTATATGTGTGTGTGTGTGTGTGTGTGTGTGTGTGTGTGTGTGTGTGTGTGTGTGTCTATGTGTGTGTGTGCATTCTATCTTTAATGTTTGTAAACGCAGTCTTGTGTTCGTGCTATGTACTTCGATCATATGGTAAAACATCAGAAGAAAAACTAGCAGACAACATGTCAACACCATCTACAGCTTCACAAATGCAAAACTGTGATCCTCCCCACAGGATCCCTGGTGGCTGTGCCTCTTCTCTCTCGTGGTCTGGGAGTTTCAGACAATATCCTAGCTATTCTGGGAGCTCTGGCCTCTGTCGCAGACTACACTTTCTACGGGCTGGTCTCCAAGAACTCGGAGTTCCTAGTCTGGATAGGTAAGGATGCATTTTGTACTATTTTTTTATTATTATTATTATTATTATTATATTATTATTATTATTATTATTATTATTATTATTATTATTATTGCTATTATTTTGCTATTATTATTACTATTATTATTATATTATTATTAATATTATTATTATTATTATTATCATTATTATATTATTATTATTATTATTATTATTATTATTATTATTATTATTATTATTATTATTATTATTATTATTATTATATATTCATGGTGAAAAGCTGAACACGTAAGTCAGGCTTGATCCAAGGAAGAGACCTCTTCCTCCCCAGCTGTATAATAACTACCAGTCAGATGAATGGTTCAGAGAACCGACATGTTGATAAATTAGACACATGTGCAACTCTTGGGTATCTTTATTGAGGAAACGTTTCGCCACACAGTGGCTTCATCAGTCCATACATAGGAGAAACTTGAAGAACAGGAGGAGAATGAGGTAATCAGTCCCTCAACCTTGAGTCGATGTGTTCAGTCCATCAATCTTGATGGACTGAACACATCAATCAAGATTGATGGACTGAACACATCGACTCAAGGTTGAGGGACTGATTACCTCATTCTCCTCCTATTCTTCAAGTTTCTCCTATGTATGGACTGATGAAGCCACTGTGTGGCGAAACGTTTCCTCAATAAAGATACCCAAGAGTTGCACATGTGTCTAATTTATCAACTACCAGTCAGCTGAGAATGTTTGAAGTTATAAGATACCACAGAGAAAGATGTCTGCAGGTATTGTTTTAGTGGTAAAAATGTATTAGTCACTATTTACGTTACACACAGATCACTGTTTATGTGACACACATAAGAACATAAGAACATAAGAATGTAGGAACACTGCAGAAGGCCTACTGGCCCATACGAGGCAGGTCCTTATCATAACGACCTCTACCTAAAGCTACACTGTTTGTGACACACACAGGTCACTGTTTGCGACAAACAGGTCACTGTTTGTGACACACAGGTCACTCTTTATATGACACACAGGTCACTGTTTGTGACACACAGGTCACTGTTTGCGACACACAGGTCACTGTTTGTGACACACAGGTCACTCTTTATGTGACACAGGTCACTGCTAACGTGACACACAGATCACTGTGTATGTGACACACAGTGCACTGTTTATGGCACACAGATCACTGCTTGTGACACACAGGGCACTGTTTATGTGACACACATGTCACTGTTTATGTGACACACAGGTCACTGTTTATGTGACACACAGTTCACTGTTCATGGCACACAGGTCACTGCTTGTGACACACAGGGCACTGTTTATGTGACACACAGGTCACTGTTTATGTGACACACAGGTCACTGTTTATGTGACACACAGTTCACTGTTTATGGCACACAGGTCACTGCTTGTGACACACAGGGCACTGTTTGTGTGACACACAGGTCACTGTTTATGTGACACACAGGTCACTGTTTATGTGACACACAGGTCACTGCTTATGTGATACACAGGTCACTGTTTATGTGACACACAGGTCACTGTTTATGTGGCACACAGGTCACTGTTTATGTGACGCACAGGTCACTGTTTATGTGACACACAGGGCACTGTTTATGTGGCACACAGGTCACTGTTTATGTGACGCATAGGTCACTGTTTATGTGACACACAGGTCACTGTTTATGTGACACACAGGTCACTGTTTATGTGACACACATGTCACTGTTTATGTGACACACAGGTCACTGTTTATGTGACACACAGGTCACTGTTTATGTGACACACTGGTCACTGTTTATGTGACACACAGGTCACTGCTTATGTGACACACAGGTCACTGTTTAGGTAACACAACTAGATATTACATACACATACATGAGAAACGTGTGTACGTGAGTAGGGGTGAAATGTGTTTTATTTTATATATTGCGTGTGTAGACACACGACTGCCCCTCACTGGAGGCACCTTGATGTTAGTCAAGGGCTCTGGTTCCAAGGGATCAAAGCTCTCCTTCCCTTCAATGGTTCAAACCTAATTGTTTCCTATTTTCCACAAGTTCCAAGACGCTTAAAGGTTCAACGCTTACACACACACACACACCATGAGTAGTTCGGACATCGAGGGTATCATGTATGAAAGGCCCCTGGGAGCTAGTGATCATGTGGTTCTGTGCTTCGACTACATAGTTGAGCTCCAAGTGGAGAGAGTAGCAGGAATAGGCTGGGAAAAACCAAACTACAAAAGGGGGAACTACTCAGGCATGAGGAACTTCCTTCAAGACATTCAGTGGGAGAGGGAACTGACAGGAAAACCAGTACAAGAAATGATGGACTATGTAGCAACAAAATGCAAGGAGGCAGAGGAGAGGTTTGTTCCCAAGGGAAACAGAAATAATGGGAAGAACAAAACGAGTCCTTGGTTCACCCAAAGGTGTAGGGAGGCAAAAACTAGGTGTACTAGAGAATGAAAAAGGTAACAGAAGACAGAGAACTCAGGAAAATAAAGAAATCAGCCGAAGAGCCAGAAACGAATATGCACAGATAAGAAGGGAGGCTCAGAGACAATATGAAAATGACATAGCATCAAAAGTAAAGACTGACCCGAAGCTGTTGTACAGCCACATCAGGAGGAAAACAACAGTCAAGGACCAGGTAATCAGACTGAGGAAGGGTGATGGGGAATTCACAAGAAACGACCGAGAGGTATGTCAGGAGCTCAACACAAGATTTAAAGACGTATTTACAGTGGAAACCAGTAGGACTCCAAGAAATCAGAACAGGGGGGCACACCAGCAAGTGCTGGATGAGGTACATATAACCAAGGAGGAGGTGAAGAAGCTGCTATGCGAACTTGACACCTCAAAGGCGGTGGGACCAGACAACATCTCTCCATGGGTCCTTAAAGAGGGAGCAGAAATATTGTGTGAGCCATTAACAAAGATCTTCAACACATCATTTGAAACTGGGCAACTCCCTGAGGTATGGAAAATGGCAAATGTAGTCCCAATTTTTAAAAAGGGAGACAGACATGAGGCACTAAACTACAGACCTGTATCTCTAACGTGTATAGTATGCAAGGTCATGGAGAAGATCATCAGGAGGAGAGTGGTGGGGCACCTGGAAAGAAACAAGTGTATAATTGACAACCAGCACGGTTTCAGGGAAGGAAAATCCTGTGTCACAAACCTACTAGAGTTTTATGACAAGGTGACAGAAGTAAGACAAGAGAGAGAGGGGTGGATCGACTGCGTATTTTTGACTGCAAGAAGGCTTTCGACACAGTTCCTCACAAGAGGTTACTGCAAAAGCTAGAGGACCAGGCACACATAACAGGAAAGGCACTGCAATGGATCAGAGAATATCTGACAGGGAGGAAAACAACGAGTCATGGTACGCGACGAGGTGTCAGAGTGGGCGCCTGTGACAAGCGGGGTTCCACAGGGGTCAGTCCTAGGACCTGTGCTGTTCTTGGTATACGTGAACGACATAACGGAAGGGATAGACTCAGAAGTGTCCTTGTTTGCAGACGATGTGAAGTTAATGAGAAGAATCGAATCGGACGAGGATCAGGCAGGACTACAAAGAGATCTGGACAGGCTACAAGCCTGGTCCAGCAACTGGCTCCTTGAAATTTAACCCTGCCAAATGCAAAGTCATGAAGATTGGGAAGGGCAAAGAAGACCGCAGACACAATATAGTTTAGATGGCCAAAGACTGCAAACCTCACTAAAGGAAAAAGATCTGGGGGTGAGTATAACACCGAGCATATCTCCTGAGGGGCACATCAATCAGATAACTGCTGCAGCATACGGGCGCCTGGCAAACCTACGGATAGCGTTCCGATACCTCAGTAAGGATTCGTTTAAGACTCTGTACACCATCTACGTCAGGCCCATACTGGAGTATGCAGCACCAGTTTGGAATCCACACCTAGTCAAGCACGTCAAGAAATTAGAGAAAGTGCAAAGGTTGCAACAAGACTAGTCCCAGAGCTACGGGGATTGTCCTATGAAGAAAGGTTGAGGGAAATCGGCCTGACGACACTGGAGGCCAGGAGGGTCAGGGGAGACATGATAACGACATATAAAATACTGCGCGGAATAGACGAGGTGGACAAAGACGGATGTTCCAGAGATGGACACAGACACAAGAGGTCACAATTGGAAGTTGAAGACTCAGATGAATCAAAGGGATGTTAGGAAGTATTTCTTCAGTCATAGAGTAGTCAGGCCCATGGAATAGCCTAGAAAGTGATTTTGGTGGAGGCAGGAACCATACATAGTTTTAAGGCGAGGTATGATAGAGCTCATGGGGAAGGGAGAGAGAGAACCTAGTAGCAATCAGCGAAGGCGGGGCCAGGAGCTGTGACTCGACCCCTGCAACCACAAATAGGTGAGTACAAATAGGTGAGTACACACACACACACACACACACACAAAACACACACACACACACACCACACACACGTTCAAGACACTGTACACTGTGTATGTTAGGCCCATACTGGAGTAGCAGCACGAGTCTGGAACCCACACCTGGTCAAGCACGTCAAGAAGTTAGAGAAAGTAAAAAGGGTTTTGCACAAGGCTAGTCCCAGAGCTCAGGGGAATGTCGTACGAGGAAAGGTTTGAGGGAGATCGGACTGACGACACGGGGACAGAAGGGTCAGGGGAGACATAATAACGACATACAAGATACTGCGGGAATAGACAAGGTGGACAGACATAGGATTTTTCCAAAGAGAGGGGACACAGGGACAAGGGGTCACAACTGGAAGCTGAAGACTCAGACGAGTCACAGGGAAGTTAGAAGTATTTCTTCAGTCAAAGAGTTGTCGCAAGTGGAATAGCCTAGCAAGT